ACGGTTGCTTCAAAAAAAGAATAGTAAGTACATAAAGTAACGTAAACATACTTTTATTTTTATTACATATAATTATAAATAAAATAAATATCTCAAAACTATAAAGAAGTAAGTACCTGGAATAAGTATTGCTGAACAAAACAATCATCAGGGAAATGTTTGAATGAGATTGACTACACATAGACTAGAATGGCTTGAATTTTAAAACAAAAGTCAAGTATTGGCAAGGTCAGGTAGTGACAGAAGTGTACAGCAGTGTAAAATGGCACAACCTTCAGTAGTTTCCTGTAACGTTAAGCATATGCTTACCCAGAAATTAGACTTCTAGGGGTATATTCAATAAAGATGGGACAAGTGTAGTGGTGCAGGCCTGTAATCCCAGCACTCGGGAGGCTGAGGCAGGAGGATCGCTGTGAGTTCGAGACTAGCCTGGGCTATGTAGCGAGTTCCAGGTCAGTCTCAACTAAATAATGAGACCCTGTCTCAAAATATATAAATAAATGGACAAATAAATAAATAAATAAACCGAAAATGTTGGGCTTCCAACATTTTGTACCTGAATATTCGTTATAATTTTCTTCATAATAGAGAAAAACTGCAAAGAATTCATAAATAACAGTATTGTACTCAAAGATGAAGTTGAAAGCTGGTGTCGACAAAAACATAGATGAATCTCAAATGCAATATCACCCAAGATTGTATACTATATTATTTCATTATGCAAATTCTAGAAAAGAAAACCACCTTCAAGAATATAGGTACCTGACTGCTGAGGGCCAGGAAAAATGGAAGGGCCACTGCATGCAACAAGGCAAAAAGGAGGAGGGTGGAAATACCCTTTTTTTTTTTTTTTTTTTGAGACAGTGTCTCTACGTAGTTGAGACTAACCTGGAACTCACTATGTAGCCCAGGCAGATCTCAAACTCACAGCAATCCTCCTGCCTCAGCCTCCCCAGTGCTGGGATTACAGGCGTGCACCACCACACCTGGAAAAATACCCAATATCTTGCTTCTGAAAGGGATAATAAAATTGCGCACATTTGTCAGAGCATCAATTTATACCCTAAAAATTTCTGTGCTTTACAGGAAATTGTCCATAAATAAAGCTGATTAAAACAAAATGAAACATAAATGAAGTTTCATAATTATGGAATCTCAGGTCATTGTTGGAGAGCAAATCAAATGTGAATTTGAGAAACCCAGAGAGAAAGCGATACTAAAAGAATCCATGTATATTCAAATTTGCAATCTTGGCTGGCTTGAAACAAAATAGTGTTTAGAAATCATGACTTAAATCAGCTTGCCATTTTCGTGATGTTATAGAAGACTGGAAAATTGGGAAAGATGATAGGACTTTGATCTTGGCTGGCTTGAAACAAAATAGTGTTTAGAAATCATGACTTAAATCAGCTTGCCATTTTCATGATGTTATAGAAGACTGGAAAATTGGGAAAGACGATAGGACTTTGTGGTAAAGGGTAAAGACTGTGGCCAAGTCTGAGGAATTATTCATGCCCCATAGGTCAAGGAGACTAGATTTGGCATTGGAAATAATAAAAATGAAGCCATCCGTACTGCTCAGCTAACCGTGAAGCAAATGTTGGGGCAGACTTGACTGGATACAGAAAGGATCCTACTAGTCCACTTCATAGTGTGTAGTTACTGACTAGCAATCTTGGTAGTTCCACCAGAAGCCATTCACTTGGTCAGAGACTTCGATTTGGTCAGCTGTGAAACCCTCATCACTAGCTTTGGAAGATACGGTCTTCAGTTCTAGATGCAGTCCTAGCTGAGCTGCAGTATCTAAATTGTCATGGCATGGTGTAAAAAGAGCAAAAGGAAAATGGAAGCTGTCCACCTAGACAAGGAATGGCCCACTTGAAGTGTGGACATTGAATGTCTGCCTCTGAAAAGTTTGCCTTGAAAAGTTGACGTGAGTAGGATCCTGCTTAGCTGGCTCAGGGTTTTTTGTTTGTTTGTTTGTTGTTATTTTTCCAAATCTAATGCTTGCTTTCCCTACCTCCAACTAAATGAGAAAACATTATACTGAGAAATAAAGATAGTTGATGTTAAGCATACTACTTTGGCGCTCCATTTCAATATTTGAGAAGAGTGCATACCTTGTGAGTTCCCTCAGAAAGTAGTCTCGGTGTTGTAAATTGGAAAATGCTTTAAGTACAGAGGTTCGCACTGCTGAGACAGGAGAGTGGAGAGGTGGAGCTGCTGTGGTTGCCCTATGAGGTCTAAGCAGATCCTCGGTGTGACCGCAGGCAAGAGCTCTCTGCGCTTTAATTTTCTTATCTATAAAATGAGGATAATAATAGTGATCTGGTATCTGGTATCTGTAATTCTTTTTTTCTTTCTTTCTTTTTTTTGGGGGGTTTGAGACACGGTTTCATTATGTAGTTGAGAGGGACCTGGAACTCACTATGTAGCCCAGGCTGGTCTCAAACTCAGTGATCCTCCTGCCTCAGCCTCCCGAGTGCTGGGATTACAGGCGTCGCCACCATGCCCAACTTGGTATGTGTAATTCTGAAATTGAAAAAGTTCAAAAAAACAAAAACAAAAACTTTTTTTTTTTAATTTGTGGTTCCCTCCTTTGGTGGTGAAATGCAGCCCCAACTATGAGGCTTTCTCATCATTTCTCTGCCTGTGTGAACCCTTCAGGGCCCTGTGGAAATGTGGATGTTTGATCATAGAGGGCTGCCCTCCTTCCTAGGGTAGCACAGGAGTTTATGGTGTAAGTTCTAAGCGTTTTATTTTCTTTTTAAAGTCTATAAACAATTCAGGATTCAGACTCTCCTGGCCCCAGGGGGTTCCGCCTCCCTCGGAACATTATGTGAGGACTGTGTTTCTCAGAACAGAGCCCAGTCAATGATGAAGCTATTATTACTGACTGTTATTGATGCTCAGGAATTAGATTACTCACCTTCACCCCTAAGAATGAGCGATGTTTAGTCCTTGAGGATGCCTAGCCTTACTTTTAGTACTTACATATTTTAGTCTTTCAGTCTCGATTTAGGGTATAGTAATTATTGCTAGAAAATGCTTCTCCTCCTAAGAAACTGGCCGACTTTAAACACTTGTTCCTCTCTTTTTCAATCTTCTCCTACTTGGAAGAACGCCTCATCTACCCTCAAGTTTTAGCTGACAAATTTATTTTCAGTCATCTTTCCTACCGTTCATCTTATGAAACTCATTCTTATATTAAGGATTCTCTGTCTCCTAACTGAAACATAAAGGGCTATCCTTATTTCCTCAGTGTTCTCCAAAAAATCGAGTCCTTGATAGGTTCTAAAAGGATGCTTTTGTTTTAAAAATAATTATGTAAAAACACAAGAGCAAAAATATCCATCTACATTTCATTCACTGTCTCCTAAGAACAATTTTATTTTTGTGGTTGAGTTTTGACATGTTTCCCGTTTCCTCCGGCTATGTAAAAACCTTTTCACTGTGTCTAACCCTTGGCCTACGGGCACGGAGGACTGATTTTGCAATGCTGGTCTAGCACTGGGGAATTGTTAGCTAAAATGTTCGTATATTGAAATATTTGGGAGCACAGGTAATATTATGTAATTAAATATTGTATTTCTAAAGAAAGAGATAAAGCAGGCATTTTAAAGGTGCTTCTTGGGAGGATGTTTGCTTTTGGTCAGTGCTGGGGTGAGACAGACCAATAATGAATCCTTGGCCACCTTGGGTCCCGTTCCCCTTGCCTTCCCCTGGGAGGATGTGGCTGCCAACTTGTGACTGCAAGCCGCTATGTGTGTTTACCCTTTGTTTGGATTCGTGTTACAAGGTGCCCCACTGTTGGGCAGGATTTCCAGGGCTGAGTGGTTTTACCCCAGCATCTGAGTAAGGAGGAATGCAGTGGTGGGACCCTGACCCCGAGTGCAGGAGGGAAAGGATTAGCAATGTGTCCATCGATCCAGATGGCGATTTTTCTGTTCTGATGCACAGGTGGGAAGAGGAAGCCATACAGGATGGGATCTTTCCTTTTTTTTCCCCTCCGTTCGGTTCTTGGTGTCATGCTTTCTGCTCTTTATTTTACCAATTCTACAACCAGCCAAACAGCCCTGAACTTCTTCTCCCTGAAGAAGGCAGAGTGGGGAAGAAAAGCATCCTTCAGTTGTGAGATCTACGTCCTGCTCCTTTTGGTGCGGTGCTTTTCTGTGTTATAGTGCACCTCGCGTTCTGAGGCCTACACAACACGATGTCCCTTCCAGCTCTGCGCTTTTTCCTGTAATATTGGAAAGCAAGTGCAAAATTTTAGGGGTGCTTTTGCTTTGCAGTTTTCTACCTGGTTGACCCTAGATAAAATCTTTTCGCTCTTGACCAGATATTCCATTCTCAAGACCATTCCATGAGCCCTGATTTCTGTGAACCTCCCTGCAGGTCTAACTTGCAGTCCATGGGTTAGATACGCCCATGTTGAAAAATTAAAACGAAGGGAGGCTTTGTTACTTACATTTATGATTATACTATGTGTTTTATTTGTGGCCCAGCACAATCCTTCACTCAGTGTGACCCAGGCAAGCCAGGCTTCTCATGCTCCTGGCTTGGGGATGGGTACAAGTGTTAAGGTATTAGCAGCACAAGATTAATTGTAATCTGCAACACAGAAAGCTTTCTTTGCAGTTTCTTGTTTAACACCACTCGATTCATGAAAACATTATGTTTTCATTTGTTTTCTGGTAATCAAAGAGCTTTCTCATGGTATTAGCTTTTAAACCCCATCTGAGCACAAATGTCTTCATCCCAAAGAAAAGAACACAGGGAATAGCATAAATGTGCTACCTCCTAGAAACACGGGATTTTATTTAAAATGGAAAAATGTGTATTGATCTGACTCACGAATACGACTTCCTGTAGTAAGATTTCCAGATGTCTTCTCAGTAGTCATAATGTCAGGTGGCTCCAAAGGTTATAATAAATAGATGCATTTTAATGTTCTGCTCTTGCTTCTCTCTTTCCCTCACCCTGGGCGCGTCGCTAAGCAGTATTCTACAGAACTGAAGAAGTTGTACTGCCAAATTGCGAAGACATGCCCCATCCAGATCAAGGTGATGACACCACCTCCTCAGGGAGCTGTCATCCGCGCCATGCCCGTCTACAAGAAGGCGGAGCACGTCACGGAGGTGGTGAAGCGGTGCCCCAATCACGAGCTGAGCCGTGAATTCAACGAGGGTAAGGAGGGTAAGGAGGGCCGCAGTCTGACTGTTCAGCTCCTGGGACAGAAGGACGCTGTGAGCATTCTTAGTACCAGTCTGTCCGATTCAGAGTTCTACAAGCTGTCGTCTACTCGGTTTGCCTTTTTTGGCAGACACACTATGTAAGAAAAATGCTAAATAATTGTGCAGCTTTCACAGCGGTTGAACTACTTAATTTAATATTGGTGATTACTGAATAATCTGGACTGGTCTCCCTACTGCTTCGTTTCTTTTTCTGGGTTTTTTTAATTTAATTTTATTATTTTTTGGTACTAGATCGCCGGCCCTCTTTTTCTGTTTAAATTTTCTTCCTTTTTAAACATAAGCAGAGCACTATGGCCGTTGTTCTTCTTGGCGCAACTCCAACGCGCTTCAGTTTCAGTGCCTCCCCAGAGTGATGTTTCAGTCTATGTGCACTGAAAGCTGGAAGGGCAAGGAGAGGGGGCGTAAGGGAAGAGAAAGAATGAGCCAAAATCAAAGGGGAGCTGAGAAGAGAAGAAGGAAAGGAAAGGAGAGTGCAAATAATGAGTAAGAGAAGTAAATAGAACCAAGGCCTTACCGTGGGGGCCAGTGGAGTGCAGGACTGTGTGTCAGGGGCCGGCAGCTTGAGCACTTCCTGTAAGCCCTGTGTCCATGCCCTAACCATGTCTCATCTTTGATCCTCAGATCCAGCAACCGCACAAAAGTCACTGTCGCAAGGGTCCCTTTGATCTGATAGGAGGGCTCTGAGAAGGGAGGCTTAGTGGAGAGTGCTGAAGAGCAGAGAGGAAGGACAGGAAAAAGCACCCAGAGTCGTCTGAGCACTTAGGGCATGGGAAGGGTTGGGGTTTAGGATATTTATGGAAAAACAGCAGGGATCTAAATACTGATCGGTATCTAGAAGGTATTGGTACAAAGCCTGTGATGGATTAGAGAGAAACTCAATCGAGGAAAAACGAGGATGGGTAGGAATTTTAAAGGAGAAAGTCATCAAAATCCTCCTTGACACAACTATGTTTTACACATGAATTTCTGGTCCTTGTATACAAGGATGCACTAACCGTACCTCTGTGTCTTGCTTTTCTCCTCATGGTATTCAGAAATGATACTCCACAGACACAGTCCTCATTGTCTGCTTACCTATTTGTGTTGCATCAGAATTACCATTTATGGCTTCGAATTCTTGGAACAGTTTCTTGCTTTTGGAATACTCTCAGATATTGCAATTTTGCAAGACGTTTCCTAGGCTCTTTTTAAAATTTGTTTCCCTTTGTGTGTCCCCCCAAATGAGACTCTTCAGTATAATAAATCCAGCAAGTTTCCTAGCATTCTGATGAAAGCAAGGTCTATAAGTGAAAAAGGAGAAAGGAGTAAGCAAGGGGAATGTCTGTCCTTGTGACTTGCTGTCTTTTCTTTTTTTCCCCCTTCTTTTTTCTTTCCACTGCTGGTATCGAACCCAGAGCATCACACATGCTAGGCAAATGCTCTACCACTGGGATCCATCCTCAGCCTTAAACTTCTTTCTATTTAATATTTTTGCCCATTGAACTTTGGGCAACATTTTAATTCACATCTTGCTTTTATTTTCTTCCATTTTCAGAGGAATCTGGCAAAATACCCTCCATGAATGAGGTCGTACAGTTCTATGAAAATTAGGATAGTTAACTTTAAACTCTGAAACCTAAGCACAATCTCCTAAATGTAGATCACCATTACAACCCTTTGCGTTGCTAAAAATATTGAGATATCTACCTGTATTAGATGTGTTGCAAGAGATTCTGTTCCTTATGTCAAGAATGTGTATTTCCTTTGTCACACAGACTGTTAACTTGGATCACCAACATTCTGTATATGAATTTCCACTTTGTTGACTTTATTATGAGGATAAGTAAATTAACTATTTTGTCTTTTTCTATTTTGCAGGGCAAATTGCTCCTCCTAGTCATTTGATTCGAGTAGAAGGGAACAGCCATGCCCAATACGTAGAAGACCCTATCACAGGAAGACAGAGTGTGCTGGTGCCTTATGAGCCGCCCCAGGTAAAAAGCAAAGAAGACACACACGGGTGACAGACACACAGATTGGCTGACTGGTGGAACTTGCGATAACATTAGTGTTGGTGACAAGGACTATTTCCACCATTTGTCTCTCTCTGTGTTAGTCCCTATCATCAAACTTGTAACTTTTTGTTTTGTTCCTCTTCTCCACATGCTTCCCTTTCAAATGCCTAAATATTTAATGAATTAACTTAGAAATGTGACTTTTGCCAACCATGCCATCATAAAGGCAGATAATCATTGAACCAGAAAGAGGGTTTCTCACCAATTGACAACTGACTTGGGAGTGGATGTGCATTGGCAATGGAGGTTAAGAATGCTGACACTGACTTGTAAAAGGGAGTGTTTAAGAGGAATCCCTTGGCTGGCTTCTGCCTGAGCAGATGGTACACATATAAGTCTGCTGTGCATAGCAGAGTACTATGGTAGAGACTATGTAAGAACAAGGAGGCCGAAGTCATGTGCTTTGCTGACTTGCTCTGTAGACCTTTGACACATGACTGTCCCTCTGTGGGCTTCAGCTGTCTTACCCATGAATGAGCACTTCAAAAGAATTAAGATGTGCTTTGCCCACATACCAACTCCCCACAATAAATACAATCATTATGTACTGCAAACCTATATGGATAAATATTAAAATAAAAATAACCTAGATGGTTTAGTTCTGAGGACACTTTAAGGTCCAGAATGTTATTTATGGAAATGTGTACTCACATCTATTACACTGTTTTACCTTTGTAGGGAAAATATATTTGGAGTGACGCTGATATTTTTGACTTTTTTTTCCCCCAGCTCTCTCTTTTTTAGTGATATTCATGTCCCTGCTGTAGCCCAGCTTCTGAGTGATTTGGATCAGCATGCAATAAACAGGGCTGGAGATCAGAGATCTGTTAAAGCCTATATTACCTGTGTTGTTTGCAACATTTCAAATATTAGCTTGAAGCTTTCCATGAGGCAAAGGAAAGAGGAACCCACAGTGGATATCAGACATTGCCTTCCTAGAAGGAAGCGTATATCTTCATTAGTAGTAGAATTCTTTCAAAAGAGAGAAGAATGGAGAAGGAAGACTATCAGCTCAGACCATCACTAATATAGTTTTTTTTCTTTTCTCCTGTGCTCAGGTTGGCACTGAATTCACGACAGTCTTGTACAATTTCATGTGTAACAGCAGTTGTGTTGGAGGGATGAACCGTCGTCCAATTTTAATCATCGTTACTCTGGAAACCAGAGAGTAAGTGACATTTGTCAGACTATCATTCTACAAACAATCATGGGCAGAGGGCAGAGTGGAATTGTGTCCTTTTTTTTTTTTATCATTGGCTTTGTATGCACAGCGGAGAGCTGACTTCCGATTTGTCCCTTGTGCTTTTAATTCTTGCTGTGAACACTTAAAAGTAGAGAAAGAAGAGGATGGGTAAAGGTAGAAGGGGAAAAAAGAACTAGGAAGGTGTACAAGTTGCTTCATACCTGAATTCTTGACATTTGACTGGAATTGTTTTGATCAGACAGCCTTTGTTTTCATGTGGCCCTGAAGCATTTAACAGCTTCTTTGAGTAAGTCTGGGCTGCCTGAGGGGATTTTATCCTCAGACATCCACTGGCTTAACTCAAGTTTTCTTCAAAATATGTAGCTAAATACAGCTGTTCAGCTAATGGCTCGGAGGTTCTTTGCAGAACAAATGGAACGTTATTTACTAATATTGCTGGGGGCACACAAGCACTTCTGTGTTCTGCCAAGCTCTCTGCAGACCTGCCCCAGAGCAGCCACAGCTGAATGGGTGGTTATGGTACGCATAAGGTGACCAGCGGAGACTCCAGGGCACCTCAACAGTCGCTCACTGCACTGCTTTCTTTCTCTTTTCTCTGGATCGTAGTGGGCAAGTCCTGGGCCGGCGGTGCTTTGAGGCCAGGATCTGTGCTTGCCCAGGAAGAGACAGGAAGGCAGATGAAGACAGCATCAGGAAGCAACAAGTTTCAGACAGTACAAAGAACGGTGACGGTACGAAGCGCCGTAAGTAGATGTAGTGGCCGAGTGGGGTAGGGTTGAGCTTCAGCAGATGGAGGATTGGACGGGGGCAGCACTGGAGAAGCTGCATGAGGAGAACTGTCGGCTTTCGCATCAAGGATGACATAAGCCCCCCCGCCCCGGGTTAGTGGAAATAGGTACAGCCTTGATGCAGAGAATAAAATGGGCCCCAAGTATACACTAGCTTTGCGGAAGCAAATACTCATAACTAGCTTTTCTTATTACAGAGATCCTCAGTGTGACTTCTGCACGGGTGACATCAACATTGTCTGGAAACTGGGTAGAAATGCAAATTCTTAAGCCCCAAAATATAGCTTTGCTGTACTCTGGGTGTGAAGTTGAGCAGTCTGTTTTACAAACCCAGTAATCTGTGTTTTGTAAGCCCTCCAGGTGATTCTGATGCTACCTAAATCTTGAGAACCAGAATCTAGCCTCTTGGTATCAATTCATCTTTCAGATATTAAGCATCTGCCCACCTCATGACTTAATGAGAATTGAACAATGAGAGACCATGAGACGGTGATACTTAAAGACATATTTCGCGAGGCCCAGTGTGTAAGGAGGCAGAGCAGCTCTGACCCAGGCTTGACGTCATGTATATGACCCGACTGGGGTCTCAGTAACCTCACCAGTTGTTTTCGAACTTGATTTTAACTAATGGAAGCTTTTTAAAATGAAATATTTCAAGCAACCTATAATGCAAAAGGAAGGTAGAGTTGGAAAACCACGGATGCATATAAGCTACTAACGGGTGCAGTTGATTCTAGACAGTGTCGTGATCAATCCTGGTGTCACCACAAGTGCTTTATTGTACCATACTGTGATGTATTTTATCAAAGGCGATTCAATGTTTCCATTGATCGCTGTCCAGATTCTTGTGCTGTGAACTGTCAGTATTTTATGCTTTCCGGTTGGTCCTTTCTGTCTCTGATTAGTCCTCAAAAAATTCATATGTGTATGACCTATGACACATAGGACACATATGTGTCCATTCTCATTCTACTGTTGTGTCTTCTTGATGGCATAGCTACCGTCTCTCCCCTGAGTACTCTATTTACCTACAAATTAATGACTGCCAGTAAGAACAGATTATCTGAATTCTGGCAGAAGGATTACCTTTATACCCTGGATTCTGGCTGGTTGTAGTTTAAGAATTTATTATTTATCAATTCCTGTATTTTATATATATTATATATATAAAGCTTCTACAACATGCATTTAACTCCATGGGAAATGAATGATCTGAAAAATAAAATATAAATCCAGTTTTTCTCCCATTTCTTAAGAGGTCTTCACAGACCCACACAAGCAAGATGCAGGGTTTCCTGCCTAATTACTTCAACTAAATGCCATTTCCCAGCTCCCTGGATTTTCTTCCTTTACATAATCCTATCTGCCTTTTCCCTACATCATTATTGCCAAGAATGCATTTATTGAAAAAGCAAGTAAATGGATGTTTAAGACCAAACTCCTTAATCTTGCAGATGTTTCTGTCACTACTGCTAATATGTCTTATTAAACATAGTTAATATTTAATAACTAAATATGCTTAACATATATTATTGCTGCCAGAATGTTCCCACGGTGAAACATTCATTTCTCTCCCACCAGCTTTCCGTCAGAATACACATGGCATCCAGATGACATCCATCAAGAAGCGAAGATCTCCGGATGATGAACTGTTGTACTTGCCAGTGAGTCTCCCCGGGATAGTCATGACCGCCTCCTTCTAACCTCCTTTGAATGAGCTTTACTAAAGGTCACTTTCCAGTTTTCTATGTCAATAGGAAAGGGACTAGCTTCGTTAGTGGGAGAGGCAACAGCAAAGTAACAGTTGGGGTAGCTTATAAACGACAGAAATTTATTTCTTATAGTTATGGATGTTGGGGGTCTGAGATCACCATGCGTTCTCCTTGTCTCCTGAGGGCCTTCTTTTGAGTTGCAAACTGCTGTCCTCTCCTCCTGTCCTCGTCCTCGGATGGTGGGGAGAAGGCTGGCTGGGGAGCTCTGTAGGATCTCTCTCCCGAGGGCACTAATGCCCTTGGGGGTGATATCTATTTACTTCATGATGGTGGGATAAATGGAAATAAAGCAAGGAGAATATATATATATATATGCAAAAAATATCAATCAGGAAATCTCCTTTCCTTCCATAGTTTTGGAATATATTAATAGTGTGAGTTCCTCTATTTTCTTTCCCACCCACCTCAGAGTAACTCCTAACACAGTTTTTCACACAAGTATTTAAAATTTATTTGCATCTCATCATTTGTAAAATGATTATTATCTCACAGAACATGCCGTATCCGTTTAGACCTCAATTTTGGTTGCAGAAAATGCACAAAGTTGGTAATACAGTAACTATAGAATATTGGCTGTCACCTTTTCTTGGCATAAATTCATGCATCTTTGTGAGGAACAGTATGGTAATTTGACACATTATATACAGTGGTGATTATCACATCGGGGTAAGAGTCACCCCCGTCTTCTCGAGCTGGAATTCTTTCTTTGTGTTTAGAACTTTCATTTTCTTTTAGGGAGGGACATAATGAAAGCCAAGTCAGGCGGAGTCCTCAATTGTATATGAATAGCCAGGAGCCTTGGCTCAGTTCTTGTGTAAGAGTCTCACTTGCTTCCGCACAGAACATTATCCCTCTGGAAGTCACCAATAAGGTCACCTCATTAGATCGAGTCTGCAGTTCACTGAATGCTTACTGCCCTACATCTCTGTCACCTAGAGGGGCAACAAAGATGTGGTGATCAGTGTGGCCCTTGACAACCCCTAGACTGACCCTAGATACGGGGCCAGCAGGACCAAGAGAACTGACTGTGTGCTAGTGCCCTGAATCAAAGTTAAAGTGGCTTGACGAGTTTGGGTGTGCCCTACCTACCCTGGGCCTTGGGAAACAGACTATTTGACGAATCAGGAATCAATTCAGCTGAGGTTCTAAGGCTACATATGGAAATTGCTGTATAACTCTTCAATAAAAATATGACTCTGATCTAGTAAATTTTACAGAAAACTTAGTTATGTTCTCAGCTGGTGAGAGAGAAATTATCTGAAAAGCTACTTTTAAATTTCAGTTTTTTTTACTAATGCGAAAGATACCCTGTAGTGATTTACATTTTAGGATTAGCAAAAAACTTAGTTATACTGAAGTGTTGGGGGGGCCAGTCTACCATTTCGGTATATGTTTAGCGGGCGTTTGCTAAGTGGTAAAAATGCTGGATCCTGAGCAAGTACACCTCTGTAGGACACAATTGTTGTCTTCAAAGAGATTACCTGTGACTGACGTTGTGCACAGTTATATTAGGATGCAATAAAAGCATCAGCAGAGTGGGGCAGAGAGCTGTGGAGGGACCTGAGAAGGAGGCAGACTCAAGCAGAAGAGAGTCTTCTCAGAGAAGGGACCCAGCACTGCAGTGAACGCTAGGGCAAGAGAAGAAAATCAGTCCACCCCGCATTCTGGCAAATGCTGCCCGTTGTGCTCAGGGCAGCGACCCTTGCGATGCAGATGAAGAGCTTGGAGGTCGTCCTTTAACTGGATCATTTCCTCTCAGGGCTCTGCAGTCCCCTGCGTATGTCGCTGGCCTCCCTCTGGCCCTGGCTCTCTTTTTACTTTTTTGAGCTTTTAAGAGATTCTGTAAAAGAGAAGCACATTTTGTCCCTGCTCAAAACTTGTCCTTCCAGACCGAGTTGCAGCCGATTCTTGTTTTGTCGCTGGACAGGTTCCTAGGAGGCTCCCAGAAAGACGACAAACCGATCCTACCTGTAGCATTAAGTGCACAGGTGACTCAGATCTTTTACCACCACACGTATCTGTGAATAACTCAGACGTGCCAGGAGCATTGATCCCTGTGTTACAAGTCAATATGACCACGTAGGCCAACTTAGAATGAACAGAGCCATGGAATGAAAGAGCTCCTCTGCTCTGCGGTTCTTCATGCGTTCCTCCCTTTCTGTCTACTCCTGCATAGGTGAGGGGTCGTGAGACTTACGAAATGCTGCTGAAGATCAAGGAGTCCCTGGAGCTCATGCAGTACCTTCCACAGCACACGATCGAGACGTACAGGCAGCAGCAGCAGCAACAGCACCAGCACTTACTTCAGAAACAGTGAGTGCGTCCATGTGTCCCTTTTGGCATGAACAAGGGCGATTTGTTTTTCTTCGCCTCACAAAGGGATGACTGATGGACAGCGTAGAAAAGGACACTGGGTGACAGATCATATTGGATTCTGTCAAGCTGGTACTAATTTTCCAGTTTCAGCTGTTCGAGTGTCTTTATAACCTCCCCTTTGGGGAGTTCACCAACGTTTGAAAATTGAATCAGAGACCATACTAACAGTTACTAACACACAACTCTAGTCACAGCGTGTGCATTTTAAACCATGCAAGTCTTCCCTCCTCCAAATGGATTGACTGGTACATCTTTGGGGCTGCATACAATCCATTTTGGGGACTACTCCATAGACCGGGATGGCAAGGAGGTTTTACTACTTGGTGACTTGTTCGAGTACTTTGTTGAGAAGGATTCTGGGGCCTTACACATGTTGATCGGAAAAATATCTGAGTGGAGATGCACAAAATAATATCATTGCCATCTTTTAGCCTCCTCGCTCCCTGTTGTCTTCCAGTAATACATTTTTTTACATAAACAGGAGATATTTTGCAATACATTAGCATACACATGCAGTCTATTTATAAGTTCAATTTTACCTTGCCTCTCGAATCTTTGATGATGTTAATTGTTTATGACTAACAAGAATAGAATAGCTGTTAGGAAAGGATGGTAGGTTGGCCAATCAGGATTCTGTCTGTATTTATCTTTCGCTGGTTGAAAATAATCACTTGTTAGTTTAATTAAGATACTGTATCTGTGCTGAAAGTACTGCCAAAATATACATTTTAGGTCCACCTGAGAAATTCAGACATTCAGCTTTTCGGGGGGTCGGGGAAGAGAAATGTAACCAAAAGGCATCTTGCCTGAGGCAAAGATGATCTTTTATAGTAGACATGCAAAGAATAAATAATGGTTCTTTTCGCATGTGGAATTATCCACCACAGGGAGATAGTTATAGAAAGTATATTAAACAGACCCCTTATTCGTTTTTAAATCAACCTAAGTGTGGTAGAGGAGGCAGGACTGCATCCCTGATAGGAGGCCCCTCTGAATACACCTACGGGCTGTGGTACAGGGTGAGCAGCTACGGGATAAGAAACAAGCGTGCTCTGTCTTCAAAGGACTTGAAGCTATTTGAGCATTTAAGACCTCTCTTGGCTGGGAGGACTCTCATTATTTACTTTCAGCATGAAAGCTTGGCAACTCCTAGCTGTGTGATTTTGTACAGCAGACTGATCAGACAGTTTAATTAGGGGGTTCCTTAGGACACAGGGTGTTGCAAAAGACAATTAGATCTCTGGGTTGCAGACAGAATTCCTATTACCAGTTCTATGGATTCTTCTAGATATCAGATGAAAATATCCTTTAATATATTCCAGTGCAAAATTGATTTAGTTCTTATAAAAATCACATAACAGGGATCAAAGAAACATAAGACTTGAACCGTCATTACAGACTCAGAGGGGATAAGGGCCTTCCCTGAGCGTACTCATCAGGGAATTATGAAATTCTCCCAAATTGCTTTCAGTTCACCCTGGAAAAGTTCACCCCAGCCAAAATGACTCCAGGAGAATTACCCAGCAACATATCACACTAAACTAGTTCTTCCGTGGTAATTTTTTCTTTCTTTTCTTTTTCATTTTTCTTTTCTTTTCTTTTTTTGGAGTTAACAAGAAAAAGCCTGATCATCTAGAACAAGGGACTATAAACATTTTTTTTCCCACAAAACATTGGTCATCAATGTTTTAGGCCTTTTGATCCATTGCTCAGTTTGGTAGTCATAGCAGAAAAGCAGTCACAGGTATTGCATTAACAACTGTTTTAATAAAACTTTATTCATGGATGCTAACATTTAAGTTTGCATTTTTCTCATGTCATGACATATTCTCCTTTTGATGTCACTGTGATTTATTTTTAGTTTTTTTTTTTTTTTTTTTTTTTTTTTTTTTTTTTTGGTACTGGGGTACTGGGAACTGAACTTTTGGAATCTTGCACTTGCAAGGCAGGCGGCAGAACCACTGAACAAAATCCCTGGCCCTAGATTTTTAATAAATGGGCCAGATTTGACCCAGTCCCTCTTATAGATAAATAAGTGGCTCGGCTTTCATTTTTTCTTGAAGCGCATCTTTATTTGATAGGTGCATATGAAAGTTAATTTGGATATTCTAAGGCGAAGAGGTAGTAAAACATTTTAGAAAATCCTAAAATGATGCCTTAAAGTAACATTTCGGTATCTAACAAAGATAACTGCAGCCTTTAATAGAGATCTTTTCTCTTAGAAAGTGAGGCGTAACCTATTTAGGTATAAAATATAGTTAATGAAACCCTCTAAACATATGAGGCTGATTTGATCCACATAAAAATATTTATTGAAGATTGGCTAGGTGAAGGTGTTAAGGATAGAAATGAGCAAGACGGGGCTCCTACCTTTCTTTATAATTTAGTGGCGAATTCCTAATCAAAATAGCTTTTAAAACTTAACAAAGCTCTGGAATTTATTCTCAGTATTGGGTAAGCTAGGGACACAATTTAAAATAGCATCTGTATATTGTACAGAAGAGGGGACAGTCTAGTACAGTGGGGATGAGCCCATGGCACATGTAGTATTAATTTTTTATTTTATTTTGGACCAGGGATCAAACTCAGGTCCTTGTGCTTGCGAGGCAGGAGGTACAACCACTGAGCTAAATCCCCTGCCCTTATTCATTTTTCTTTTAAGATGAAAGGTGTTAATGTATGAGTAGTTTTTTCTAAACTGGAACCCCAGTATTCAGGTTTAATTGCAGAGTTGACACTTTGTGATAAATAAGTGGGTTTTGAGGCATAGTTTGGGCACTTGTCTCTGAAAGGTTCGCCATCGCTGCTGGTCTAGTATCCCCTAGAGACTTCACAATCCAAGAGGATTGACATTAGTCAGGGGCATATTCTTTTTGTTTGTTTGGGGTTTTTAATTTTTTTTTTTTTTTTTGAGACAGGGTCTCACTATGTGTAGTTCAGGCTGATTTGAAATCACTGTGTGGCTCAGGCTGGTCTCAAACTTGCAGTGATTTTCCTGCCTCAGCCTCCCCAGTTCTGGGATTCAGGTGTGCACCATCATGCCTGGCTAGTTAGGGGCGTACTGTATTCATGTCAGCTGATGTGCTATCTGTAAAAGATACAGAGCCTTCTATCCCTATTGATGAGTCTGTTTTCCGATTAGTCTGCGTTCTCTAAAGAGAATTCTATTATTCGTATTTTACAAACCAATCTGTCATCAGAGAAGAAATTACATCTTAAAATTATGTTAATAAAAAATAGTCCTAAGGATTTTAGGTACATATTTGCATTTTTTTGCACATGTAGGTATAGGCAGAAATTAGTACAGTCACAGATTCTCAGAGCATTCATTTTAAAGTATCATATGCACGTTTTTGATTTGTTCCCTCACAGCTGTGATAGTTAATGCATGGAGATTTAACAGACTGCAAAATTAAATCTTTGCAAAATATAGACATTTGGTCTATGGTGCCTTTGTAACATTATATATACATGGTCTCTGATGATGGACATGAATCTGTATAGATTTCTCCAGTTGCCTATTCTTCAGCTAAGTTTTTTTGAAGCTCTTATTTTCATGCAAATCTCTAAGAGCATGAATGATCAGACAAAGAAAAATGGAAATCTAATTTCCTGGCAATCATGTGAAAAGAATAATTCAGCATGGAAGAGGCCTATAATAGCCTGTGATTTCCTTTCCAAAACATAGTACCAACTTTATGCTGGTAAGGAATCAATTTTGTATTTTTCCATACAGCACCGAGAAAATTGGTGGGAAGGCAATATACTTTGTAGAATGGGATGGTACAGTATTTTCAGTTTAATTACCTCTGTCACTTTCCCAAATGTGTGTTTTCTCTTTGCTTGCTGTTCATTTGTGCATGGTATTCTTTTTTAAAATGCCTTCATAATTGCCTTCATGATCATAGGCAGGATGGAGGGTGAACTTTATATTGAGTTGCTGCGAATCAAATTGTTAGACTTAACTAGCACTCTCTACATTCCTTAGAGAAATTTGATTTTAGCTAGTGTGTCCACATTAGTGTAAATATAGGCAGTTATATTTATGGAAGCTGCAATCGAATGGAGGACACATATTGCAGCCACATTTTACAGTAGTCGCTTTGGCTGTACACTCCCAAAGGGTATCAGCGCTTAAGGCAGCGGTGTATAAACTACTTCACAAAGATGTGGCAGCGGCCTGTGGACTTTTATAGTCAGACCCAGACTCTTTCTTTCCCTTTTCTTACTTTCTGGAGCTCAGACTCACGGTTAGCTTCCATTCTCTACCCAGGCCAATGCAACTTTGTGACCCTCTTGCTTAGTCTAACTCTTGCTTTCCTCTAGAAAACGATTTTTGAGTTGCTGTGGTCTGAACGTCATTTACATTGTTGCTATCTGTAATCCTGAGGCACTCTGCTAGTTTTCTTTTCTCTTGTGAGTGTGGCTTATAAATAGTACACTTAAGTGCGATAGTACAAAAAGTACATAAATAGAGCAAAGAAGAAAAATATCGCAACAGCAGGATTTTCACGACTAGAGTTCCAACTCCTCGCCCCATAGCCAGGGAAACTGAGGCCCCATGAACCTCACCTGAGTTTTTAGCCAGTTCATAATGAAGCAAAGACTAGAGTCCAGTTTCAAACATAGAACTCTTTACAATGGTTCAGTCTGCCTCACTAGTTCAGTTGTAATACTAGAACTAAAGCAAGCAACAATCCCCATTTTGGTCCCTGTTACTTCTTTGGATTTCATGTTGCTAAAGCTGGCTTCAAGAATGGTAGGACTTTTCCCTCAGCTCCATGGATCTAAGAGAGAAACAAGAAATATTTTCAAGATGACTAATATAAGAGGCAGCATAGGACAGAAATATCCAGATAGATAATATTGTGTTTCTGAGCAGGTATCCTCTGTATTTCTGAAATATTTGTTTGAAATCGCCAGTTTTATAGGTTAAA